TTTGTACCGTCAATCTGGCCCGTTGAGGGTGGCCAATATGCTGAAGTGGCCCTCGGTGAAATTGAGTTTGACACCCCTGATCTAGAGCAATGCCTGTTGCCTTCAGGACCACACCCGCTCCAGGGACAGCCATCGTCATGATGGAAAATCTCCATCACTGATACCAGGCTGAGGAAGAGGAGGGAACAGCTCCAGGAATGCCTGAAGTTCTGACCCAATCCCAACACATGATGAGTGAATGTTTAGCAGCCAGAAAAAGGGAAAGATGAACCTGTACAGTTGGACACCTTCAGACATGTTTGCAAGAATGAGACAAAACAACAACCTGGAACCATTTATCACGCAAAATGAATATAAAGACTCATGCTTGTTGCTGGACTCCAACATTTTATGATGCTAAATTGGACTGATTGCTGTTTTTGAGCCTGAGGAGAGTAAGGGTGCCACCTAGTGTTGAGTTTTTCGGCTCTTTAAACCTGCAGATGAACATATCTCAGTGGGTGGATGTGTGCAGCTGAAGATTTCTTTGTTGTTGATGTGCGTTACTGACTTATCACCACATCCTCATCTCCAAAGCACTTTGTGGCTGTTCAACAGCTCTATCTGCTCAATACAGACTAAAATGACTTTTGTGAAATGTTTTCAACTCTTAGTTTCTTTACTAACCTTTGACCTTCAGCTGAACTTGAGCCAGCTTCAGCTCTGCTCTTCCATCAGACATGCTGCAGGTGTAGTTTCCACTGTCAGCCAGCTGAGGTTTTCTCACAGTCAGGTCAAAGTCTCCGGTTTCCAGAGCGTCAGGCTCCATTGAGGTCCGTCGTCTGTAAACCTGGTTTTGGTCTTTATGATCATTACCTTGTTCTCTTTGTAGGTGGATAACTTTGGGGTTGAGATCATTTCTTGACCATAAAACTGAGGGATTAACCTCAGATACACCATAAGAGTAGCGACAGCGCAGCACCACAGACTCTGCCCCTTCATTCACCTCAACCACCCCACCTAGGGCATGCTGGGAAACTGTAAGGACACACAGACACAAAACACCACCAGTTTATTGTTAGTTTGGTTCTTGATCTACATGGCATTGGCACTAAATGTGTTCATTAGTGAACTGACTCCTGACTGTTCGGGTCACAGTGACTCTGTTTCCCTCCTGATAAAAACACATGACCATATCCAAAATAACCAAATAACATAATTAACCTGTAACCCTATGTTACAGGTTCACTGTCTTCAATAATAAAACCCATAATAAATCATCTGAAGTGGAAACACATAGGAGATTCTCCTGGTAGTCAAGTGTTCTGCTTTGGATCCACAGAACATTTTCTATGGTTGAGTTGAGCAGAAAGAAATACAGAGACTGAAGTGATGATGATGAGAGGAAAATGGTCTTACCCGACAGAAGGATCCCAAACAACAGCAACATCTTGACCTTCCTGTCAGTCAGAAACCAGAACAACCCAAATAGATCATTTTATATCCCAGTTTGAACAGTTCCTGAATGAACCAGCAGTTCTCATGACTGAGTCAGTAAAACAGATCCAGAGGAGAAGGCTAGTTTTCTCATAAGGCCCCGCCCCATTCAGAACCAGTTCATCCAGTTTGTGGTCTGTTGACCAGAGTTTGTAGAAACTCTAAACAGTGACTTCTGCATTTGCTTTGTGCAGCTCTGCTCTTCCTGGTTTCACTTTGTGGAAACATTAAGAAAAACGATCATCACTTTTCTATTATAATGGCTGAAGTAATTGTTACCAAAAGTGATTTTGGAAATAAAAAAGAATCACTTCTAACAAAAAGTGATTTAGGCCATTATATGAGGGAGGTGATGACATTATGGTAATATAATATCTACACTAACAACATCAGAGTTGATTCCAGCTCATTTACCTCCACCAATCCACCCAGATCATGGTGGAAACTGTTCTGTGGCTCTTCATGTCAGCATATAATGAAAAACATCTGATTTTTATCAGGTTCTGTCATTATAATTATGTCTTCCATCCATCCTCTGCCTTTCTGGGAGCAACTCTGACAAATATACAAACTGTAATGCAAGCGTGTGATTGGCTGAGCACACTGACATGAACAGGAAGAGCTCAGCGTATTGTTGTGTAACCCTTGAGTTCTACAATGAAAATGCAGACAGCATGTTCATTTTGCTTTAAATAAAATATTATCATTATTATGTAAGGAAAACGGTTAATGTTTTGTGAATTAGTCCAGGAGGAAACTCATAGCTGACATGTTTCTGTCAGAACAAACTGGGCCACTTCCAGTTCCAATTAATAAGAATGTGGAGAATCAGGAAAATCATCTTTATCTGCAACAACAGATTTAGATTTGATCTGTTTGTTAGTCAGAAGAACCTGATTCCCTGGTTGTGAAAACATCCTCCTACTCCTGTACTGTTGAATGAAACTCTAGTATTTCAGTCCTCAGTCCTAATAAAACTGGAAAACGTTGTAGAACTCCTGGTTCTGGTCATCTGTTGGAATAAATGTATATAAGTTATCATATGTTTGTTTTATGTCTTTACTCTTACTATAATAGGTAATGGAAATTTCCATTATGAGTAGTGGTATGCAAAACATATTTGTCTGCAGGTTGTTCGTGAGGAGACAACCGTAACCTACCCAGAAGATGAACAGAATGTAGCTGTCGAGACAGTAGATGGGAATCCCTGGCCTTGGAGATAACATGTGCTCTGTTAATGCTATGTAGTAATCAGACACGCAGCTGTTTCTTCCCCCTTCCTTTAGAACTGCGTGCCACATACAACTAGGGCGTCCCCTAAGACTGAATAAAAGTGCAGGAGACTCATCAGAACATAGGGGAAAACTGTAACTGGGTTTCTCTGTGTTCTCGCGAGATAAAAATTAATCAAGTCTCCTCTCTTCTTTTGTCTGTGTGTTATAGATGTTTTAGGTTTCTGAACCTGACATCATCCCCTTGTGTTGAACTCACCAAGCAACATGTGGCCCAGCTAGATCTGGAAGGTTCTGGGTTTGAATCCCTGCCTGCTCTTTCTGTGCATCCCACCCAAACACATCTCTGCTCAGCTGGGCGTCTCTCTCATCTGCGTCGTCCCTAAGTTTGAGTGTGTGCCTCGGACCTGACCATAGTCTACCTGGAGAAAAGCATCAGTGTGACCAGCAGAGATAATCTGGACAGTGGATGGATGACCATCTGATGTGGTTCTCCTCTACACTAACTAAAATATATGCATCAAAATCTACATGAATTAATGATGGACAAGATATGTAAATTACATACATAAGCATCTATGTTCTTATGTTTAAGAACAGAGAAGTTTCAGGTGATGTTTAACAGAAAATGTCTGTTTAAACAGCACAACAGCTGGTGACCTTTTAACACAGCAGTACATTTCATGGCTGCAGCAAAGAGGAGCAGGAAAAATGTGACTGAGCTTCAGAGAGAAAAGAGTCTGAATGAACCAGAGGAGAGCTTGATGGCTTTAAACAGGACCAGGCCTGCCAGCTTCTGGAATCCCAGGTTGGTTTTGGTTAAACGTTGAGCTGAACATGTTAATAAACCTACCAGTCTTCCTGTCCACCCAGACGGTCCAACCTGAGCCGGTTCCTCTACTGGCTCAGGTTGCTCAAGTTACTGAGCAGAACACGATGGTTCTGTTCAGTAACTTTGCTGTTCCTGGAGCCACAGATATCAGAGGTTGGTCCTGGAATCTGCTGCAGACTCTGCTCCAGTTTGGAGGTTACATCTCCAAGCAATGACCACTGGGAACACTGGATCCACTGGAACCATCGACTCGACCCTCAACAACATCTCTCTCTCCTCTTTGAGCCTTGGTATTTCTGGAGCTTTATGCGTTCCTTCTTGTTGTTGCTACATCTATCTCTGCTGATGATCCATCACCTGCTATGTGTCTGGATCTTAAAGTCCCTCCGGATTTTGGCCCAGTCCTTCTCCATCACTCCCAGTCTTCCACTTTGACTGGGGGATCTCCAGCCCATTCTCTCCACAGATGCTCCTGTAGACTCCCCACACCTGGTTGCTTTTACCTGCCAGAATCTGGCATCCAGGTTGATGTGTTGGTTGTTTCAGGGGAAACCTTTCCATTGCCTAGATTTTTGGTCCGGTCTGGTGAGGTAGATAAGACTGACAACACCAATGGGTCCCTGCAGCCGCCCTCTTGGTGTGCAGCAGCCTCCTCCTCAGTAGGTGTCTGTAGCAAAGAACTGACCTGAGATGAAGGATCTGAACAAAGTGAGGCTGTCACGCTTTGTAGACCTCATCTTTTCACAGAGAGGACTGTGGCAATACAGAGGAATTGGCAGACTGGGGTGATGTCCCAGTTTAAGAAACACTAACTTAAACGGGCTGATGTAGCTGATGAGTAACTTTTAAATGAGTTTTGGCTCATTTCAAAGTGCACTGAAGGTGTTTGCACTGTAGAAACTAGACAACAAATATTTGGTAAGATTTAGTGTTTTTTTTACCAACATCAACATTACAGAAAGTAAAGCCTTGAAATGTTTCATGTTATTATGGATCTAATCAGTTTTTATCAGGCGTTGTTGTGTTAGGTGCTTTCAGATTTGTGTCACCAGGGGGCGCAGCTTCACCACTTGACATTCAATTTATTTTGGAGATTTCTCACAGATCCAACTGGAATCTGTTGCAGCACAGGTGTCAAACTCCAGTCCTGGAGGGGCACTGCTCTGCAACTTTTTGATGTGCCTCTGCTGCACCACCTGAATAGAATAATTATGTCATTAGCAAGGCTCTGGAGAACTTATCTACACAAGAAGGAGGTAATTAAGCTATTTTATTCCAGTGTTTTGTACCTGTAGCACATCTAAAAACCGCAGACAGCGGAGGACTGGAGTTTGACACCCCTGTGCTGCAGCGAACAGAGAGCTATAGATCCACATCAAACCCAGTTCCTGTTTGTTTGCTTGATGCTGTTATTAAATCTTAATTATCTTTATGTGAGAGACACCGAATTTAGTCAGAATACACTTTTACTGTTTATGTGTATTATAGTTCACAGGTACCCCACCCATTTTGTTTATTATAATAAGTTCATTCTTCATTGTAGTTTGTTTATTCCTTCAGAACTTGCTTTTCTGTCTGTCTCCTGCCTCGCTCCTTGGTACTGATATTTCCTAGATGTCATTGAATGCGACTGTTTATGCGTGTTCCTTGAACGTCCCTTGTTTGCGAAGCGGCGCTGTTTGGTTCTGCTGAGGAGCGTTAGGCACCAGCTGAGTTTTTGTGTTAAGGTAAGTAAATTATCTGAAAATAAGTGCAAAATGCAAAATTTCTTCACATAGAAGTGACCACACCAGTACAGTGGCTGAATGATGATGATTAGGTTGGGCCTTTTCATTTGAACGTTGCAGCAGCCACTACAGCCCCTTCCTGCCGCCTTACTGTCGCCCTAACCATTGTCATGGAGACCATGTAAGTTATAGCATAGCGTGTGTGTATATGTGAGCATGTATGTGTGTTAGAGCTCAGGCCCGGACACAATAGGCGGGCTGACACAGAGTCTGATAGGGGTCATGACCCCTCGCAGCGGGAAGCTCAAACTGTGGCTCCTTGCTTCTCCTCTGTCTCCCAATCAAGTTCTGTGTGGGTGTATGTATTTGTGTCTTACCTCTAATTTATAACGGCTTTTTTTTTTCTTTTTGTTTTCATGCTAACTTTTTAAACTTTGCCAGATCAAGTTTGTTTAAAACTGTATGCCTGTGTGTTTAGACAAACACACAGACATGCAATCATATGCGCAGCACTTCAGATGGATAAATCACAAGATGGTCCTAAAGCTGTCACTGGTCATTACCATGCACAGACAACACACGGTTATTCACAAGCACATAAAATAGTACAGTGACCATGTTCGTGGATGTTTTTGCTGGTCATATAAGAAAATAAAAGCAACAAGGTATTTACGTGAAGTTTCTTGCTAGAAAACTTTGCCACCCAAAGTTCTGCTAACACTTTGGGTGCATATACATATGCATAAAACTACTTTCATAAGAAATAAGCATACATGCTGCATCTACTATTGTCCCCAAATTAGTTCATTTGGGGACAATAGTAGATGCAGCATGTATGCTTATTTCTTATACTGTATGTCTTGATGGGGTTGTTTTTATCCACGCAACATGTAAAAAGGTTGCAAGAGCAAACCTAAATTATTTAATGTAATCATGTTAGACTTGGTTTTACATATAACAATAGGGATCTCTGTTTATGTGTGAATTTATAAATGTGACCCATCTATGGTGTCCTAGTGGTGTCGTCACAGTGTCTGTCACCATTCAGCCACCGTGGCGCCCAACTTGGCCGAGACCCGACGGCGGCAGGGAGCACCTTGTCGCCGTGGTAACATGTCTGGGATGCAACACCCCTCCCATCCTAAGAAATGCACGCATTCAAAAACTCAGAAAATGTTTCCCTAAGGATAAGTAGTATTTGATGTTAAAACTAACAACTAACTCTTGAGTGGCCAAATCTGGTAAAGTCCTCCATTACTCTTAGTCCTTCTGGGACATCAGATCTGAAATAATGTCTGGTAGTGTTCTGTATTATTTAGTCAGAATTAGATTTGTTTTCCTGGGGAATTTGTGCTAAGCACAATCAATTCATTCTTCAGCTCTGAACTTCAGATTCTCAGCAGACAAAATTATACCAAAGACAGGAGCACATTCTAATGGTTTACTGCAGCAATTATGTTCTCAAAATAATGAATAGTTAAATTTATTTCCATTCATATTGGTAACTAAAAAGTTTATTTATCTTCTAACTAATACCCAGTTTTCCAGGTTTAACCATTCTCAACTACTTTTTGTAAAATGTAGACCTTCAGATACTTTTTTACTGTACACTGTGCAATATTTCATTGACCTTTTCAAAGGAAAGATGTATAGCACCAGTTTGCAGGGGGGGAAATGCTTAATTTTAACTTCAGTACCTGGACAGATTGAAGTAGAAGTTCAAAGGGGTTTAACTATTTTTTTTCTCATTAAAGCAATTAGTATTTTTCTGACTGCTTTTTGATGAAATACAGTTATAGGGTTCACTATTGAAAGTTGCTCTTTGATCCTCTGGCTTTGCAGTACAGGCAGGAGGCAGGCACGATCAAGAAGATCGCAAAGAAGAAGATATGTAAAGAGAAATAAATGACAATGAGGAAATCAGTAAGGCAAGTGTATGGAAACATGTCGATCTGACAGAGACTGCAAGTAAATGAGGAGTACAGGGTCAGTGAAGCAGTGAAAAGGTTTCAGATCAACTGAATTTGGAGCAGCTGAGGGGAGCTTAAACTGGGTCAAAGAGGTGGAAGGGCCAGAAATGATAGAGGTTACATAAACACTACAAAGAAGCACAGAGGTAAGTCACTGAACAAGATAACCACTGAAAAATACAAATGTGCATCCAGGACATATAGGCAAAAAGAACAAAAACTAAAATACTAGACTGCAAAATCCCACCAAAATGGCACAGTAATCAAAAAGTAACTAAACAAAATCCCAGTCCTTCATTTCATGTCATAGCTGCTTTACTTAAGAGTCATGTTCTACAGCTAGGGTGTAGAACTCATTTTTATTTTGGGTTATATCAAGATCCCAAATATCCTCAAAGGGCTACTTCTGACAGCTTGTATTGATAAAACTCTTAACAAGTTGGCTGTCTATGTATTCAATACGTCCTTCTTCAAAATGAAATAATATTGGACATCTTTTCACATTGATGTAATTTGGCAGTATACAGGAGAAAAATCTGTTTTGATTTGATTGATGAGATGATATTTAAGCACACAGCGTTATCTTGAAAGTTTTATAGTCTGTAGTCTTTCGCATTTTGAAGAGTGGCTAAGAGACGAGGCTCTTTGTCTCAGGAAATAATTTCATACAGCAGTAAAACAAGTTATCACAGATTACTAATTAAAAGTTCCCAGACGCTGTGATCAAAGTAGAAAAAAAAAAGTATGAATTTAAAAAAATGCTCTGATAGTATTTGTAGGAACTGTTCGCCTGTCAATATGAGACTTCTTTTACTATGAATCAGTACACTCTAATACTTGTAAAATGTTCAGAATGTGATTATACTACAGACTCATTTATTGTAAAATGCTTCACATATTTCTATCTGTGCTGCCAAAAAGTGTGGAAGGCACTGTATCCAATATAATCTAACCGTAATGCCTTACCTTTATAACCTTCAGGATGATTGCATTAAGACACACACCTCTTGGAAAGCTGCTGTCGGAAAACGTATCAACCACTCATTTGACTTCTTTGGTGGAGCTTTTGTTTAGTCATCACTCATGTATCTGCTCTTTCTGTCTGCATGCAAAGAGCAACAGCAGCAGGGGAGAATTCCCGTGTTGCTGGAGGTGATGGCACAGAGCAGCCGAGGCAACCCACCAATCCTGAGAGAGACAAAGACTGATCCTACTGGCTGCCTTACAGAACATCAGTCAAACCGAGCTTTGTTAGCGCTGCATTCCTCCATGCTGTCCTCCTGTTTTCACTCCTTAATCAAAAAAAGTTAATTACTTTTATATCTCAGAACCCCCCTCACGTTTGCTTCATCAAGTAAAATGCTCCTCCTCCCGTCTCCCTATTTATTGTAATGGGAACATATTAATTAAGGGGCATCACTATTAGAAAAGTTGCTTTTTCCTCAGTTGAATTTCTGAATGGTCCATATTGTTTTCAATGAATGTAGAAATTATGGCCTTTAATTAGCGTTTTTCACACAATCTCAGTGTTTTAATTGGGCTGAAAGAGACACTCGGACAGACAGGAGGACAGAGGACAATGACTGATCTCCAAGCTGCCTAAAAAAACATTATTCAAACAGAACAAGGTTGACTGTGTGTGTCTTTGCACTTTTCTCCAGAAATTATGCTAATTACATATTTGTCACGCATGTAATATGTTGTGTGATTTATTATTCTACTTTGCAAACTGGCGAGGGTTTGTTTGGCTGGATCATAGCTAAACTATGCTTCATATCTTCAGGTTGAGCATTTTCTTGTGTTTGATTCCATGTTTTCATTTTAAATCAGTCAACTTTGACTTCATTCATGTTCACCAGTTATCGGAAACCCTTTAAATAAATTCTGGTAGTATAATTACTTTTCACTCGATATGGTTGGATGATAGGAAACCCTTTATATCTCTGAAATGTTGCATTTGCTTTGAGTAAGAGTACTTTAAAGCTCTTGCAGGCTAGTTTCTAACACCAGTGTTTGAGATTAGTTTGCATACAGTTATTCACCAAGCACTTTTTTAACTAGCATGTCTAGTTAAAAAACACACACTGACTATGGTCTCAATAACTGCATATAAACAAGAAAATTGAATGATTGCCTTAAATTATGAGCTGTTCATCTGCTGTAGACTTAATATTTATATAACCTTAAAATTTTCTGGTTTGGATCGGTTGTACTTGGTCAAATGTCTCAGGGTTTTGAAGTGAACTGGTGGATGAATCTGCAATGGGGTGGGATTACAAGGGCCATTTCAGCCAAAGGTTTTAATGGTAAATGTAAATAACGTTTCTCCAATTGAAGCGATCAGAAGTCAAAGGGACTGTGAGCGAGAGCATTTCTGCATCTCACTTCCCTACAATAGGACAAATCCCGCAAGCACAGCAACAAACGCAAGTCCAGCTCAGAGATGATGTGCAAATGAGAATTGTTTTTTTTTTTTTAAATTAAAGGTAAATGTGAGGTAATTATTTTCCTCAGCTTCCCCACTAACACTAATTAGCATCATTTCCATAAGGATACGTATGGGACATCCAAGAAAGAAACTGTTACTCTGTCTGGGGAGATCACCTCAGCAGTTTTAGCAGGAATTTGATTGACATGACGGTCCCCACCCACCTTCGAAGAGGTACTCCGCTCAATGGAAAGCAACCAGGACTGGAGTACAATAGGGCCTGGCTAAAGGGGGCCGGTCTGGGCCCTGTAGTGCAAAAAGCCCTTGAGTGTTAGAATGGGAAAGAAAGTGGATTCTGGTGACTGGATGACTTTGAACATGCCGTGTTTGTTGGTGTCAGACATGGTGGTCTGACTGTGCTGAAAAAAAGGTGATATATTGAGATTTTCATTCTCAAACATCTCTCTGGGTTATATAGATTAGTCTGAAAAATTAAATAAATAAATACAGTGAGCAGTAATGGTGTGAACAAAAAAGCCTTGTTAGTATCAGACCTGATTAGGACGACTGGACTAGCTATCAAAAAGGCAGCAAATGCACAAATAACCACACATTACAGTCACATTTTGTGGAGTACTATTGATATGGTAATGGCGGTGTAATGGTGGGTTGACCTGTCCTTGGTACACTTTGGGCCTCTAAGTTGATTTAAAAACTACAGCTTACCCAAGTGTATTTGCTGACAATGTCCTTCTCTTTATGAGCATGGAGAACCGGATTTTCTAATGACTCCAGTAGAATAATACACCTAATCACAAAGCATAAATAATCCCTAACAGTGAAGGCCAGTGGCCTCCAGAGTCACCAGATCTCAATTCAACAGGGCACCTTTGGTATGAGGTGATAACTGGAGATTAGCAGCAAATTGGCTGAAACTGTGTGACGTTACCATGCCAACATGGACCCAAATCTCTGTTTCTGGCACTTATATGAATCTTTTTCCCAAAGAATTTAGGCCTTTCTGAAGGCAACATGCCAAAGTAACATTTGTATGCATACAAGGTGATCCAGAGGGAAGTAAGTTTGGGGGTAAAGAAAACTGAAAAACCTTTCCAGTATTAGATAAGTTATGACAGCTATGAAGGTGTGAGTTTCTGTGTGTGTGTGTGTGAGTGTGCGTGTGTATATACCTTTCAGTTCATTTTCTAAACTGGTTAGGAAGTTTAGAAGGATTAGATGGGAATGTCAGCACAAGATCAGCTCCCCTGCTGGTCGGCACCAGCTGGGGGTCGGACTCCTCAGAGACCCCGATGCGTCTAAATACGTGTGTTCGGCGAGGCTCGGGAAGGAGTGTGTGTGTGCATAACCATGTTTGTGTCTGTGTGAAAGTTGGGGGCCATTGACTGTTTCCCTTTTCTAAGGGGGAGGGAGGTTATTGGTATGACATCGTCAGCTGTGTTGAATTGTGGGAGAAAAAGAACTGACGCGACGGGAGCTGATGTCTGACATGACCTCTCTCAGCATGCACGCCGCGGGGAGCTGTAGGCTGACTGTGTGTGTTTGTGTTTTATTCGCTTTAAGTTGGCAATAGTTTCAACTGGAAAGTGAGCAACAAACAGACAACAAAAGAAAACTTTTCTTCCACTAGTCCTGCCTTTCTTCCCTGGTTTTCATTACAATATCTACATGAACATCACTGTGGACTTTTCAAGATTTGTTCCTCAATCCATATTTGGTCTTCCTATTTTTGCTTCTGGTGTCCTCCTCCTCCATGTCACATATCTTTCATAACACATAACTTTTTATTTCATCCTCTGCAATCTCTTCTGAAGGCATACTTAGATTGGTAAAGTAAGCGGCAAGGTGCAATGCCTCCTACTTGTCCAATTTCCATTCTACCACTTCATAAATTTCATGGATCTCTACTTGAATCCTTTCTCCTATCTTTTATTCCCCTCTCTCCTCCGACTACGTAGTCCAACACACACACACACACAGGAACACACACTCCTGCATGCCTTTTCTATTCATTGTCTCTCCTCTTTGGGTCCAGAGCTTTGCCATCAGCCTGATAAGTGCCAACAAAGCCTCCACTGTCTAGTCTGACCCTCTATTCTCCTCCCATCTCTTCTCTTTTTCTTTTATTCTTCCTCCGTCCTGGAGCCCTCAAGTAAAAAAAGTACTTGAGGGCTCCAAGCACATGCTAAAAGACAGCACTTTTAGCGTGTCCTGTCTTTGCACATGCTAAAAGTTATGTCATATTTTTGTGTTCATCACGCTGTGATCGTAAATTATAAAGACATGTAGCATGAATTTAGAGAAAACATCTCAAAATCTTACTGAATATTAAAATCACTACGGTGATTCAAAAACTGACATTTTTTTTATTCTTCCTACATTTTTTCTTCCCAAAAGTGATTGTTTTGCCTAAATCACTTCTGCCAAAAAATACTTAGGCTATTAAAATTAGAAGGGTTACAATAAAAAAAAAATCTATAATATTTTGAACTTTTTGTTTCTGATAATACTTCACACTGAGATAGACGTTATTGTATATAAATACATTTAACAACAAAGCAATTCTTGACTTAAGACCCAAATTAAATTAAACTTATTTAAACTGTAGATGTTCTGATGCAATATTATTCTTTTTTATATATATACCCATTTATTCTCCACCATTCCTATCAGTCAGTATATTAGTCGGCCATTCAGCCTGTTTTCTAACCACCAATCACAAAGTCAGGGTACTAATAGCACCCTGCTTTCCCTCCTTCTCCAGTTATGAGAAGAATAACTCTAAGGGAACTCGTTTTCCACTCCACTGGTCTCACTTATCCTCATATGACTACCACTGCTGATTAGTGTGCATGGAGTTAAGTATGTCTGTGACTGACATATCCTCTTCCTTGAGCTGTTATCAGGTTAGATCTGTGTATCTGGGGGTTCTCTTCATCTAGAGGTCATGTTTTCATTTGCCCCCAATCACTTCACTGACCGATAAGACAATTTGTAAAGCTGAAATTAGAGAAGACTTTTTTTTTTTTAATCAGGAGAGGACACAGGAAGAAGTATGATGAGCTAAACTAAACTAAAAAAGTCAATGGCATTTTAATCAGTAAAATAAACATAAAAATGTCCACTGTGTACTAACACAGCATTTTTATAAAAGAAATAGGAATATACAAGGACAACATTTTCACTCTAAACCTGTTTTGTTGTCGTTTTTTTTTTTTTTTATCACAAACTAGGGTCAGCAGATGCTGAGGAGTGTGGTGTGGCTCCAACAGACACCTGGCTGGAGAAACATTGTAAATCTCAATTCAAAGAGAGTGCAGTCCTAGGAACTCAGCGAAGGACATTAAAGATCCCAGAACTAGAGCTTGAGATGAAACGCCACCATCCCAAATAGGGGAGTAAGAGGTGGAATAGAGAAGAATCACATAGACAGTAAATTCTTCCTCTGAAATGTGGTTCATGAGGATCAGATTCAGCTGTAAATATTTGCTTTCTTTGGGGTTTTAGAGCAATCCAGGAAAAGGAGTGCATACTTCCAAACAAGCAGATTTCTGAATAGCTTAAAATTGCACTCAGTTCTCTTTGTTTCCTTTAAACGCTAACATACTGTTGGTATTCAACTGGCTACTTCTGGACCTTCTCATCAGTATTCTCTCTCCCTCTCGAAGGGCTTCCCACACCGGCACTAGCTAATCTAATCACCTCCTCTGCAGCCTCACATAAAGCCTCCAATAGTCCAGCCGTGGCTCCCTAATCGACATGTTATTGCCCGCAATCACATTTACAGCACAGAGGCAAATCTTCACACAATGCGATTGTGTCGGCTGCTAATCCAATCAGGCCTCCCTTGCTTTTCTTTTCACTCTGTGTTTCATCTTCAAAAACAAGGTGACAGTGTTTTAATTTTCATTCTTTGGTTACTCTCCATCAATTCAGCTCACAGTTGAGTGTGGAGGAGCTTATGGGGCCAGACACATGTAGGTGCTGGTTATTGTACAAGCTTTTCATTTCAGTCCCATAGGAGAATGAAGCATGGGATTTAGGGTTTGGTATTATATGAAAAGAAAACAAAAATTGTTAGTTTTTTTTTGTTATTGTATATTCAGAGCTGCAGTATGTATTGATTAGACTGGGAATATTTGCTGAAGCCTACTGATGCGGCGCTGACTGTATGATGTTAAAAATTGATTCAGCTTCTCTGGTCAGTTTACAATTAAGACGTTTTAGAAAAAAAACCAACCCTGGCATTA